TACTACAACAAGAATGAACCTTGAAAACATGCTAAGTAAAAGAAGCCATCACAAAAAGCACATATGACTCCATTAATATAAAATGTTCAGAATAGGTAAATCTATGGAGACAGAAAGTAGGTTAATGGTTTCTTAGGGCTGGTGGGAATAGGAGGATAGGGCAGTAATAGGAAAAGGGTATGGGACTTCTTTTTGAGTGTTCTAAAGTGTTCTAAAATTGATTGTAGTGATGGTCACACAACTCTGTGAATATACTAATGGCCATTAAATCGTACACTTTATATGGGTGAATTGTATGGTATGTGAATTATATCTTTTTTTTTAAGATTTTTATTGGGGAATCGGGGGAGGGGAACAGTGTTGGGGAATTGGGGGAGGGGAACAGCCAAGTTGTTGTCCTTCAATCTTAGTTGTGGAGGGCACAGCAAGCTCAGCTCCAAGTCTAGTCATGCCACTCAACTCAAGGTGCTGTGTTCAATTAGTTGCTGGTGGGTGTAGCCACCATCCCATGGGGGAGTCACACCGGCAGCCTTGTTAAAAGTGTGCACTCTATCCACTGAACCATCCAGATGGCAGCTTAGCTCAAGGTGCCAAGTTCAGTTTTAGTTGCGGGTGGGCATAGCCACCATCCCATGCAGAAGTCGAACCAGCAGCCTTGTTGTGAAGAGCGCATGTTCTACCTCCCGAGCCACCCCGCAGCAGCTCAGCTCAAGGTGTTGAGTTCAGTCTTTAGTTGTGGGTGGGCGTAGCCCACCATCTCGAACAGGCAACCCTGTTGTTAGGAGCATGTGTTCTCACCAGCTGAGCCATCCTGCCACCTGTTGGCAGCTCAGCTTGGGCACAACTCACTGGCCCATGTGTGAATCGAACCGGTGACCCTGTTGCTCAGAGCTTGGACTCTTGAGCAAGCTCTTAACCAACTGAGTCACTCAGCTGGCCCCAGTATGTGAATTATATCTTGATAAAGCTGTTACAAAGGAAAGGTATGATTGTGTGGTACTGATGGAGGGATAGAAACATAGATCAATGGAACAGAATAAAGAATCTAGAAATAGACCCACACAAATATGCCCTACTGTTTTTTTACAAACGTAGAAAAGCAATTCAATTGAGGAAAGATAGCCTTTTCAACAACCAGTGCTGGAGCAATTGGACTTTCATAGGCAATAAAGGAACCTTGTTCTAAGTTTCACACCCTATACAAAAATTAACTCAAAATAGATCATAGACTTAAATGTATAACCTATAACTATAAAACTTTTAGGAAAAAACCCTAGGTAAAAAAACTTCAGGGTTTAGGGTTTGGCAAAGAGTACTTAGACTTGACACCAAAAATGCAATCTATAAAAGGAAAAAACTGATGAATTAGACTACATCAAAATGTAAAACTTTTGCTCCATAAAATACCTGTGAAGAGAACAAAAGGACATAGAGAGAAAGCATTTGCAAACTACATATCTAACAAAGGACTAGTATCTAGAATGTATTAAGTGCTCTCAAAACTCAACAGTAAACTAACAATCCAATTAGTAAATGGGCAAAAAACATGAAAAGACATTTCACCAAAGAAGATAGACAGATGGCAAATAACCACATGAAGAGATGTTCGGCATCATTAGCCATGTGGGAAATGCAAATTAAAATCACAATGAAATACCATTACACACTTATCAGAATGACTAAAATAAAAAATAGTGACTATATTGAATACTGATAAGGATGCAGAGAAACTGGATTACTCATACATTGCTGGTGGGAATGTAAATCAGAATAGCCACCCTTTAACACAATTCGGCTGTTTCTTAAAAACGAAACATGCAACTTCCATATGACCCAGCTATGCACTCCTGGGCATTTATCCCAGAGAAATGAAGACTTGTGCTCAGGCAAAAAACTATACATGAATATTTATAGGAGCTTTACTCCTAGTAGCTAAAACTGGATACAATCAGATATCTTTCATTGGGTGAATGGTTACACAAATTTTGGTCATTCCATACCATGGAATATTGCTCAGCAATGAAAAGGAACCAACCACTGATATACGCCACAACCTGGAATTCCAAAGAACTATGCTGAGTAAAAGGCTACATACTATAGGATTCCACTCATGCAACATTCTTTTATTTTTCTTAAGGTAATCAATTCTTTGCTTTTATTTATATTTCTACCTTCTAAAAACAGTCAATTGTTATCATTCATAGTAGTCATGTTCTACGAAGTCACCATAAACACTGAATTACTGAATACTGAATCATAGCCCAAGGGGAAATACAGGTTTATGTCCTGTAAACCTCTGGTCACAACATTTTCATCAAATGACCAATACATAGCCTCATTTTATTTGTGTCTCTGTTTTATTTTTAAATGGTTTTATTGAGGGATGGTTGATATAGATTTAACTGAACATATTTGATGCATACAATTTTGTGAGTTTAGACATATGTATACATCCATGAAACCATGACCACAATCAATGTAATAAATATGTCTATCACCTCCAAAAGTTTTATATAATGTTCTTGAAATGACACACTATGGAAAATGTAAACAGATAGTGGTTTCGAGGAGTTAAGGAGGAGTGGGGATGGGAGAAAGTGGGCATAGCTATAAAAGGCCAACATGAGGGTGGTGATGTAAATATTCTGACTCTTGATTGTATCAGTGTCAGTATCCTGGGTGGTGATATTGTACTATAGCTTTGCAAGATGTAATAATTGAGAAAAGTAGGTAAAGAGTACACAGGGTCTCTGTACCATTTCTTACAACTTCATGTGAATCTACAATTATATCAAAATTAAAAGTTTAACTAAAAATAATGAACTATTTAAAGCAAAAATAATTATAATGTTGCATGAAGTTTATAATATATGTAGAAATTTATAATATATGTAGAAATAAGTTTGGCAACAAATATCGTAAAGGACAGAAGGGGCAAATAGAAGTACACTGTTGTCATGTTTTTACACTTTTTGTGAAGTGGTATATTTGAAAGTAGACTATAATAAGTTAAAGATGTATATTAAAAACTGCAGTAATCATAAATAAATAAAAAAGGTATAGCTAATTTAAAAAGCCAATGGTGCAAACAAGTGGAATCATAAAATAAGGCAGGAAAACACTGATAAAATGCAATACAAATAGAAAAATCCACAACTATATTTGAAAATTTTAACACTCCTTTCAGTAGCTGATAGAACAAGTAGAAAGAAAACATAGAAGGATATAAAAGATTTGAACACTATCAACTGACTGACATAGCTGACATTTATAGAATAATCCACCCAGTAATAACAGAATACACATTCTTTTCAGGTGCACATGGAACATTTACTAAGATAGATCAAATTTGGGGCCCCAAAACAAATTCCCATACATTTAACAGGACTGAAATCATATAACGTATTTTCTCTGACCCCAAGGAAGGACGGGTGGTTAGGTAAAAGGGTTAGGAAGCTGTTGGATCCATCCAGGCAGGAAATGTTGAGACCAAATGGTGAGGGTGGAGAGAAAGGGAGAATTTTGAGGGATAGCAAGGTTGTAGAATGAATATGTCTCCACCAGCAATTAAACATGTAAGGTAAGAGAGAGAGAAAAGTCAGATACAATTTCAATATTACCTGTTTGGTAATTAGGAGTGGTAATAGAAGTCCCACTTGCCAAGATAGGGAGCACAAGAGGAAGAATTCTAGGATGGGCATGAGAGTGAAAGGATGAATCTGGTTTGGGGAAAGGTTGAGTTTGAGATGTCCATGAGACACCTGGTGAAGATGTCCAGAGACAGTAGGAAACACTGGGCCTTTTGAGAGAGATCTGGATAATTGAATTCAGAGACTATGTAGAGGAAAGATGCTAGAAATAGAACATTAAGAAACACAAGCATTTTGGGGGGCCGGACGAGTGGCTCAGTCGGTTAAGAGCTCGCTGAAGAGTGTGAGCTCTGAACAACAGCGGTTCGAGTCCAGACCTGAGCTGAGCTGCCGTTGAGCTGCCAGCAGGTGGCAGGATGGCTCAGCTAAAAAAAGAAAGAAAGAAAGAAAAAAGAAACACAAGCATTTTTGGAATGGTCAAAGGGAGAAGTGGCCCACAAAAATGGGAGGAAGGAGAGGGAGACATCTAGTACTCTGCCAAATAAAAAATCCCAATGGATTTTGTGAATTTAACAACTGGGCGTACAATTGCTCTCGTAGTATTTGTCCTCTACTAGTTAACCTCAGTTTCCTGTGTAAAGCAGATAATCTCACTTAGTTCACTGAGTTATAGAAACAACTAAATAATAGATGTGGCAGTGCCCCACACAGCCCCCTGTGCTCTCTGACAATAAGGCCTGTGATAGTTCGTGGTGGGCTCTGACAGGGCAGAGACCATTTCTGCCTCATTGTATTATGTCCCCACTCCTGTTACAGTGCTTGGTACATAGTAGGAATGAAAATATTGGATGTGTGGATGATAAATGAAGAAATGAGTTGAGGGAATCAAATGAATGAGCAGATATGATTCCATATCAGCAGATTATAACAGCAAAATAAACAAAAAGTGTATATTTAAAATGCTGGTACAAAGTACATATTCAACAAATCTAATCATAAAAGTTTCTTCTGGAAGATGGAAATGTAGGTATGATGCTACTGATCCTTAAGTGTAACTTGCTGGTCAGCATCCAGTCCCTAAGGTTAGAGATCTTGTCAGTACTAAGTACATATTAAGTGTTCTATATGCTGTTATTACTATGGCCACACTTTGAGCAATAGAGAAGCCTACTGTTGGAAGGTAGAAAGATGGGTGTCTCTTCTGTTGTGGGTGGGGAACTTGTACCAAACAATAGATAGGTTTAACCAGTGGGTGATGCTCACTGTGGCTTAGATGCTAGTTCATTTGAGGTACTGCTTCAAATGGCAACTTTGTCTCCCTAGAGTCAACTTTGCCATCCAAAAGCAACAGGATTTTAAATCACGAGTGGAGACGTTAAATCATGAGTAAGGCAGTGCCAAGATACTCACGAGGAAAGTGACCTGCCAGCACTTCACTCTGTTCATCTGGAAAATGATGTCCTGGGTCTGGTTATCAGGCAGGGTTATGCAGCAGCTGATTTCGTTCTTGCCCACAGAAAGGATGGCCCCACAGCCCGGTTCCGGGTAGTCACAGGTACAGGGGTCCAGCTGCATGTATCCATAATGCTGTACCTCCTGGGACAGCTCCAAAAGCTGCTCCAAAGGTGGGTGTGGGAGATATAAAGAAGCAAAAGACCACTTGGTGAAAACCTCACGTCAGAAGCTACTGCCATTCTAGTAGGACACATGGAATTAAGTTACAGTGAAAGCCCCTTTTTCTTCTGGACAATATGAATGAAGACAATGCCCCCTGTGCTTTCTGACAGTAAGGCCTGGGGTCGTTCGTGGTGGGTTCTAACAGGGCAGAGACCATTTCTGCCTCATTGCAGTGTGTCCCTACTCCTGTTACAGTGCTTGGTACACAGTGGGAATGGAAATATTGGATGTGCGAATGATAAATGAAGAAATGAGTGGAGGGAATCAAATGAATGAGCAGACATGATTCCATCTCAGCAGATTATAACAGCAAAATAAACAAAAGTGTACATTTAAAATGCTGTCTTTTAAAAAACTAAGCTGAAGTCTATGTAGGAGGAAAGCAGTTTATTTTTACAAGCTGTTTTATGTGATGGCGGGATGACTTGTCAAAGAAACAGATTTTGGAAATAGTCATGAAATGAGAGCAGGAGTAAGTCTGCTTTCTTAGTAGGTTCAGACAGCTCCAAAGTGTCAAGGGAACACTTTTATGTGATGTTTAAGGTTTAGATTTTCCCTCTGCTTCTGAAATGACTTAAGAACAGAGGACAACTGCAGTTCATTCACACCTGTGGTCCCGGCATCCTGTCCTGTTAATGTCTACTGAGGACTTTTCATTCTTTTTTAATTTTTTTTTAATTTTTATTTTTTTCATTCTTTTTAACAAAGTGATTATTAATGATTGCATTTAAATAAACTGATATCAGCTTGGTGACCTCCACCATGTTCTTCCAGCTTTCGCCATGGTCCCGCCTGATAGTATTTGAGATGTGTGTGCACAGAGGGGAGTTCTCACTTTAACAACTTTAACACATAGTTAAATTAGAAAGACCACCCAGTGACACCCTGGCTTTTTCCCATTCCTTTCCTAAAGCAAGGTAACTTATGCCTCCCTTTCAAGGACTATATGAAGCATGCTCTGATAAACGTGCTGAAGCACATGCAGTAAGGGACATCTGACCTTTGGTACAAGGCGAGAGTATTTGAGGCTCCTGTCCTTCCCTAGCCACCTGTTGTACCAGCTCATTGTGCTGTAGTTCAGGCATTCAACTTAAGAGATGCTTTACTTGTAAGCTGCCAGGCCTCCTTTTGAGTCAGAAAAGACAGGTTGTGGGCCGGCCGAGTGGCTCAGCTGGTTAGGAGCTCCCTTGGGAGCGCCAGCTCTGAGCAGCAGGGACCCGGTTTGGATCCCACATGAGGGCCAGTGACACTGCCCTCTACAGCTAAGATGATGAACAACAGCTCGACCTGGAGCTGGGCTGCTGTGAGTCGCCGACGACGGCGTGGGCTGAGCGGGGCTGCAGTGGGCTGCCATGAGCTACGTGAGTGGCTGGCAGCCAGTGTGAGCGGCTGGCAGCGGGTGAGAGCTGCTGTGAGCCACTGTGAGCGGCCGACCAATGACCGGCGNAATACCAACATGGGCCAGTGAAGCGACATCCTCCACAACTAGACTGAAGAACAAAAGGACAGCAACTTGTCTGTTCCCTTCCCCGATTCCTCAACACTGTTCCCTCCCCCAATTCCCCAATAAATTCTTAAAAACCAAACACTATTCTTACTAAATGAAGAAGTTTATAGAGCATAAATGTTCTTAGAATCAGTAATTGTATCCAAAGTAGCAGCAATATCCTATCCATCAAAATAGAAACTGTAATTGTAAAAGTTTACAAACACACAGAGAAATTGAACTCCAAAACTTCTGTGACAAAGCTGTGATGGAATACCAAGGGGAGAACATACTAAATCATGGCAGTATATGCTTTTTCCTTTCCTTCCCCCAGGCACATCAGTAAAATTCTCAAAATGTCACAGACTTTGAAGAATTATTCTATATCAAGCTAAGTATAAATGAATCCTCTAAATTTTGTTCAAAATCAATGCTTTAGTGGTGATCAATGGCAAAGTCTAAAGAATAAATAAAAGACAACACAATGAAACAGAGGCCATTTCTTCTATTAAAATATGCCTTGTCAGACTTGTATATGCTCCTTGGGGGCAAGGGGTGTGGGTGTTGTTACCATCTTTACGAAGTTTTAAAAATGGCTGTTTAGAAATATATTCTAAAGAATAGAATGTGTACTCAAAGACAGAGGATGTGGCTGCAGTGCTTAGGGACCTTCAGTCAGGAACCACACCAGGTGTTAGGAATACACAGGATACGTATAAATTAGATACAGTCCTGAGCCTCCTGGCACTCGCTGCCAAAGTGATTTATAGCAGCAAAAGCTGGAAACAACCTGACTTTCAATATCAGGAAACTGGTTAGCTAAATTACAATAAAACATAAAATGGAATACTCTGTGGTCATTAAAAATGTTGAGAGTCTATATTAATTAACTTGATAAAGAACTCACAATATATTGTATGTAGTTTTTAGAATCTTTAACCAAAAAGCCTTTATTATTTTATAATCAGAAAAATCAATGAAAGTATTCTCATTGCTTTAAAAGAGTCGCTGTTTAGTGCTTGGTGGGCTTATAAATTACCAACAGCTCAGTTCCAATATGTTTAACTCCTTTCTAAGAGATTTCTTTTGGTGAAATATTTGATTCACCTTTCTTTGGTTGTCTTCTTTCTGTAGAGCTTCTAATTTCTGCCTCTGCAGCTGGGTCGGTTTGGCCCATTCTTTTTCAATATCCTGTATTGCCTTAAAACAACATAAGTTGTAAAATTAGCAAACTTAGCAGAAATTAATGACTCTGACAAAAACGTACTCATGTATGAAAGTCTATAAAAAACAGACCCAAGAGGACATATATAAGAACCTGCCATAAAAGTTACTTTTTAAGTTAGTGAGTGTAGAAAGAGACTGTTCAATGGTTTGAACTTGAGAAAGAAAATAAAGTTAGCTCTTTTCCCATACCACCCAATCAAATAATTTCAGATACATTCAAAATCTAAGTGTAAAAAACACCATAGGGCCAGCCATGTGGCACGTTGGTTAAGAGTTGGCTTAGGAGCGCTGGCTCTGAGCAGCAGGGCCCCAGTTCAGATCCCACATGAGGGCCAATGACATTGCGCCCACTACAGCTAATATGGTGAACAACAGCTCGACCTGGAGCTGGGCTGCATGAGTCACCAGAGACGGCGTAGGCTGCAGCGGGGCTGCAGTGGGCTGCCGTGAGCTACCAGAGTAAACCTGCCACACAGAGCATATAGTTTCATGCTCTTGTTACAAAATTTTCTTATTTATTATATGATATAAACCTTTGTTTATTTTATTGTTTGGTAACACTTTAAAAAATTGTAATAAACTCTTAGCTGCAATGCCCTAAAAGAGATAAAAGTATTTGTTTAATTAAACATTAAGCTCTATTTCTTAAGAAAGTTGGTGATGAATAAGTAACTTGTTCAAAATACTTGCTGGCATTTGCCATTCAGCAAGGGGGTCAGTAATATTATTGATTGTATGAAAGCCAGAAGACAGAAATCTGAAAGAATTATTTACTTGAAACTAGTTCTCTTAAGAAGACTCTACCTAGAAAAGATCATTTAACATGTGTAACTACAAAAGGTATGTTTATATATTTTCATTTAGATCAGGGGTTTCCAATGTTTCTGCAGAACCATATAGTAAATATTCTCCATTTTGCAGGCATATAGTCTCTTGCAAATACTTACCTCTGCTCTTCTAGCACAAAAACAGCCTTGGACAATACATAAGTGAGTGAGCATGGCTATGTGCAAATATAATTTTATTTACAAAAACAGTTGCCCATATGCCACAGTTAGCCTATTTGATTTAGATCAAATGTCTGCTTCTTTAAATGAATTTCACTCATTTTCAATTCTGAGTTTTCTTGTACCTACACATAATGTAAAGCAATAGTTGCTAATGTACTGGTTCCATTAGTAGAAGAATTTCACAAACATTTAAATAATGCTGGTGTTATAGCAATATCCTTAGATGCTTCAAGAGAAAAATGACTTAATTTGAATAATGGTTCAATTTTTTTTTGAGATGGTAAAACACTCACACACACCCTGTCTCCAAGCAGTGTGTATGAGTCAAGCCATATTTTAACAGAAGAAATGGCCTCTTCTCCACTGTGTTGTCTTTTTTTATTCTTCACACTTAGTCAATATTCACCACTAAAGCATTGATTTTGAACAAAATGCAAAGAAAATTTAGAGGACAAATTCATGCATGTGAAGTTAAGCTTTTAAAAAAAGACTACCATAAAAATAGTATCATAAGGACTTCTGGTCAAGATGGAGGCATAGGTAAACACTGTGCTTGCCTCCTCCCATGACCACATTAAAATTACTACTAAACTAAAGAACAACCATCATGATGAACTGCCTGAAGACTAGCTGAACAGAAGTCCTACAACTAAGGATATAAAGGAGAAGGCACATCAAGACTGGTAGGAGGACTGAAGATGCAGAATGGGCTGGTCCCACATCACATGAGGGGGTTAAAAATTGGGAGGGCTATCTCAGCTGCAGAAGTTCCCCCTGAGAAGTAAGTGATCCCAGTCCCCACACCAGGCTCCCCAGCCCAGGGTTCCAGGGCCAGAAAAGAAGTCCTTGTAACTTCTGGCTGTGAAAACCAGTGGGGGTTGTGGCTGAGTGAGACAAAGGGATGCTGAAGACCAAGGCATTCTTCTTAAAGGGCCCATACATGGACTTACTTGCTGATGGATTCACTCACTCCAGCACTGGGGCAGGAGTTCAAAAGGCATTGAGGAAATACAGGGAGGAACTGAATTGTCTGGTTTCAGAGCGAGGTCTCGAAAGGCAGCTTTCTTTCAGATGGAAGTGCTGGCAGATGCCATTGTTTCTTTGTTGAGCCCTCCCCCTACAGAGCCTGCAGGGGCAGGTAGGCACCAAGTCTGAGTCTCAAGCAACCTGGCTAATACCATTCACCCAGCCTTGGTGATTCCCTGAAACACTGCCTCACCCAACATGCGGGCTCACCCAAGCCTCTTCCAGCAGCTTTTCCACATAAATGTCCTGACTTGGCTCATTCTGTGGACTTTCTAAAATTTCTCAAAGGTTCCCAAACCCCAAACAAGCAGCAGCTGGCCTAGGCAAGCCCATACAACTTGATAAGTGGTCCCAAGCTCAGCACCAGCGGCAGCCAGCCTCTTAGTTCTCAGCTTAGCTCTCCCAGGCACTTCCAAGTCTAGGACAAGGGGCAACCATCTACAGGTCACTTTGTAGCTCATACCAAATGGCATCAGGCTGGGCACAGGCAGTTGCTGACCTTGGCCTGTACCACTGGCAACCGCATAGACTGAAGTGGAGCTGCAGTGGGCTGCCGTGAGCAGCTGCTGTAAGCCGGCATGAGCTACTATGAGCCACCATGAGCGGCCGTTCAATGGCTGGCAACCGATCTGCCTCAGCCCGGTAGAGCGCAATGATCACAATACCAACATGGGCCAGTGAAGCGACATCCTCCACAACTAGACTGAAGAACAAAAGGACAGCAACTTGTCTGTTCCCTTCCCCGATTCCTCAACACTGTTCCCTCCCCCAATTCCCCAATAAATTCTTAAAAACCAAACACTATTCTTACTAAATGAAGAAGTTTATAGAGCATAAATGTTCTTAGAATCAGTAATTGTATCCAAAGTAGCAGCAATATCCTATCCATCAAAATAGAAACTGTAATTGTAAAAGTTTACAAACACACAGAGAAATTGAACTCCAAAACTTCTGTGACAAAGCTGTGATGGAATACCAAGGGGAGAACATACTAAATCATGGCAGTATATGCTTTTTCCTTTCCTTCCCCCAGGCACATCAGTAAAATTCTCAAAATGTCACAGACTTTGAAGAATTATTCTATATCAAGCTAAGTATAAATGAATCCTCTAAATTTTGTTCAAAATCAATGCTTTAGTGGTGATCAATGGCAAAGTCTAAAGAATAAATAAAAGACAACACAATGAAACAGAGGCCATTTCTTCTATTAAAATATGCCTTGTCAGACTTGTATATGCTCCTTGGGGGCAAGGGGTGTGGGTGTTGTTACCATCTTTACGAAGTTTTAAAAATGGCTGTTTAGAAATATATTCTAAAGAATAGAATGTGTACTCAAAGACAGAGGATGTGGCTGCAGTGCTTAGGGACCTTCAGTCAGGAACCACACCAGGTGTTAGGAATACACAGGATACGTATAAATTAGATACAGTCCTGAGCCTCCTGGCACTCGCTGCCAAAGTGATTTATAGCAGCAAAAGCTGGAAACAACCTGACTTTCAATATCAGGAAACTGGTTAGCTAAATTACAATAAAACATAAAATGGAATACTCTGTGGTCATTAAAAATGTTGAGAGTCTATATTAATTAACTTGATAAAGAACTCACAATATATTGTATGTAGTTTTTAGAATCTTTAACCAAAAAGCCTTTATTATTTTATAATCAGAAAAATCAATGAAAGTATTCTCATTGCTTTAAAAGAGTCGCTGTTTAGTGCTTGGTGGGCTTATAAATTACCAACAGCTCAGTTCCAATATGTTTAACTCCTTTCTAAGAGATTTCTTTTGGTGAAATATTTGATTCACCTTTCTTTGGTTGTCTTCTTTCTGTAGAGCTTCTAATTTCTGCCTCTGCAGCTGGGTCGGTTTGGCCCATTCTTTTTCAATATCCTGTATTGCCTTAAAACAACATAAGTTGTAAAATTAGCAAACTTAGCAGAAATTAATGACTCTGACAAAAACGTACTCATGTATGAAAGTCTATAAAAAACAGACCCAAGAGGACATATATAAGAACCTGCCATAAAAGTTACTTTTTAAGTTAGTGAGTGTAGAAAGAGACTGTTCAATGGTTTGAACTTGAGAAAGAAAATAAAGTTAGCTCTTTTCCCATACCACCCAATCAAATAATTTCAGATACATTCAAAATCTAAGTGTAAAAAACACCATAGGGCCAGCCATGTGGCACGTTGGTTAAGAGTTGGCTTAGGAGCGCTGGCTCTGAGCAGCAGGGCCCCAGTTCAGATCCCACATGAGGGCCAATGACATTGCGCCCACTACAGCTAATATGGTGAACAACAGCTCGACCTGGAGCTGGGCTGCATGAGTCACCAGAGACGGCGTAGGCTGCAGCGGGGCTGCAGTGGGCTGCCGTGAGCTACCATGAGTGGCCTGCAGCCAGCATGAGCAGCTGTCCAGTGGCAGGCGACCAACTGCCTCACCCGGGAAGAGCGCAATGATAATACCAACATGGGCCAGTGAAGCGACATCCTCCACAACTAAACTGAACAACAAAAGGACAGCAACTTGTCTGTTCCTCTTCCCCAGTTCTCCAATGCTGTTTCCCTCCCCGAATTCCCCAATAATAATAATAAAAAAAAATTCTTAAAAAAAAAAAAAGGCAAAGAAACACCATAAAAGAATCAGAAGAAAATAAAGGTGAATATTTTTATCTGATCTTAAGATAGGTGATATCTTTTTAATATACAAATACAAAATATCATAATGAAGGAATACATAAGACATGAAAATATAAAACTTCTGCACATAAAAACCACTGAGAACAAAACTAAGAAGTAAATGGCAAGCCAGAAAAAATTACTGCATCATATGTGTCAAAGAGTTAATATTATTTATATAAAGCAATAGGAAAAATGTAAACATCCCTATGTAAATATGGGAAAATGGACAGAGGATATGTATTGGCAATTGACAAAAATGAATTCCAAGTGACAAATATGCATATATATTTAACTTCACTAGTAATCAAATAATTTTTTTCTTCTCAACCTGCAGAGATTAAAAACTATATAATATTCAGGGTTGGAAACAGGAAGTTCCATATGGAATTGGTACAATTTAAATTGGTAAAATTAGCCTGTCCTCCTTTTATTTATCATGCTTTGAAAGGGCTTTCCACTGGTCCTCAATTAGACTGTTAACCCCTCTGGGGAAGACCCAGTGTCTTTCACTTCAGCGTAGCTTGTCCAATGTCTTACATACAGCAACATGCAACAATTCTTTGCCAATTATCAGGTGTTTACTCACACCTTAGTCTTTATAAATCTATGTATTTCATCCCTCGGTGATATTAGCAGGTTTTGCCTTATCTCTAAGAGGAGAATGAAAAGCTGAATAAATTTTTGACATTGCTATTTAGATTGAGAGAAAATGAGGTGAGTTTAGAGAGAAGAAAAATAGCTAATATTTACTGAGAACCTATTTTAGGTAGGTTTTCTCAATTACTTTTTCCAAACTATTAATGTAAGGTAGGAAAATTACCCCATTTTATTTTACTTTTTAAAGATTGTATTGGGGGAATCGGGGAGGGGAACAGACAAGTTGCTGTCCCTTTGTTATTCAGTCTAGTTGTGGAGGACGTCACTTCACTGGCCCATGTTGGTATTATCATTGCACTCTTCCCGGGTGAGGCAGTCGCTCGCCAGCCATTGGATGGTTGCTCATGGCGGCTCACCGCAGCTCACGAAAGCTCACGTCCGCTGATGGCCAGCCCCACTGCAGCCTACACCGTCGCCGGTGACTCATGGCAGCCCAGCTCCAGGTCAAGCTATTGTTCACCATCTTAGCTGTACAAGGCTCAGCGTCACTGGCCCTCATGTGGGATCCGATCCAGGGCACTACTGCTCAGAGCTGGCGTCCCAAGCTAATTCCTAACCAACGCGCCACTCGGCCAGCCCAATTACCCCATTTTATAGATGGGTAAATTGAGGTCCAGAGAGGTTATGACTTTCAAAATGACCCAGCAAGTTTAAGTGGCAAAGTTGGACTAAAACCCAGATCTTACCACTACACCAGGCCCTGCTACCCCTTCCAAAATCACTGAATTCTTACCACTTAACAGCTACCCAATCCAAGACTTTCTTCTTGTTGTTAACTGTTCTCAAAACTGAACCTTGACACCATACCAGGATGGAATTAGCATGGGTGTGAAGAATTAAACACCTTTTTCTGTCCTGAACTCTACTTGTTGTTAGAGTCCTATAAGGACTATTAGCACAGGGCAACCATGTCAGAAAGAAAGCCTAAATAAAGACGGTAAACAGCAATCATGGCAGTAAGTACTAACCAAAGAAACATCAATAATCATTAGGGCATCTGGGACTCTCAAACACAGATATTTAAATGTCCCACAGGAGAGGTAACATAACTGTTTTTGTTTTACTACCTTTGAAAATATTTTACCCTGATGAAATGTAGGCCCAGAATTGACCAATCCTTCAATATGAGGCCATCACTCAAATGCATTCTATACAATACCTCACTCCAGATGATGAAAGAATCAAGTTTAGACAAATATCTCTATTTAGTTATGTGGTTCCCCAAAGACTGACTGATGGAGACTTACACAGAACTTAATTTTTCAAACCATGTGAAATTACATAAGTCATGGTTTTCATGAGCTTCAATCACACTAGTGCCCTCTGTAGAGGGTACAATAGTGAGAAATGAAAAACATGTGTCTCTTTAAACAAGGCATCAGCCACTTGGCTCCAGCTGGTTGAGGCATGGCTGAAGTAAGGCCAGGGATGTGTGAGCAGCCTGGTGGGCCGTGGTCAAGGGCACTGGGCCATGGGGGTATTAGGAGGCTAATGGGCAGCCTACAGTCCCCTCACAAGCCATGGGCCCTGCCTGGATGAAGGGGCAACTTTTTCAAATTTGCACAAAGTTACCATATGAACCAATTGTGGCCCTGCTGAAAAGCAGGCCCAAAATGGGCCAAGCCTTTAATATTTTTTTTAAAACCTAGGAATTTATCATTTTATATGCAATCTTCACTTTGCTAATGTCAGTAAAATTTTTAAAAAGAAGAAGAAAGGAAACACATTGTGGGAATCCAGTTGATCCTGGACATCACTGGGCACATCTGCTTTAGAAAAATCATGAGAGTATGCCTTAATAGTCAATTATGATGGCACCGTTATTTATCAGAACTCATAAGAACTTTTGCATTAACTCTTTAAAGGGATGATTGCTCCTCAACTCCTTCACATATCCTAGGCACCCCAGACACAGCCTCTGCCCTTGGCAATTCAGAGTCTAGCTAGGGAGATACGTATGTGAACCAGTATTTACAACGCTGGGTGAGAAGCATCATAATAGGGGGTTATACAAAAACATGAAAGCAGGGGAGGGAGGCATTTTCTTTTGGGAGGAGCCGGGGAAGGCTTCCCAAAGGAGGTGGCGATTTGGGGTCTCCCCCTCCTGTTGACCTTGGGCCTCTTTTGATTTCTCAGTACCCGCACTTGGATTCAGGGAATACTAATGATGACAATGATAATGGTGCAGGTTATTATGACAACACCTCCAACATTTTGAAGACTATGCCAGGCAAAGAGCCAAGGTTTGACTAACAGTCTGTTTAAGCTGGGAGAAACTTAGAGCCTGTTAGTTCAACCTCATTGCTTAATAGGAAATCGTAGTTCTAGTTCCAGGTGACATGGAGAAAGAGCTAGTGGCAGAGCAAGGGGCAGAATTCGTCTCTGAAACTGCAATTAATATGCTTTCCACAAAACTCTCTTTTTTCCAGCTATAAGCAGAGGAAATACCATCCATTCTCTCTGGGATGCAATTCCGTGATGAAGACAGATACAAATCATATGATGATGCCAGCAATCCCTGCCTCTCACCACAATGTGACCCTGGAAACCATGCCCAAAGACCCTATTTCCCACAGGAACAATATTAGAATTAGGTAATACATCCTCAACCAAGGATGTGATAGCAAATAAATCATATATAAATAATAATGTATCATAATAGCAAGGATACAATGGTGATGAGCCCCAGTAAACATTTAAAATGGTAAATTACCTGCCAACTAATATAACATGGGTATAAGTACACTGAACGTGATTACATTTGGATCAACGTGTCTTATGAAATGAACTCAAAACTATATTCTAGCCATAAAAATACAATAGTGGACATTAAACATGTATTGAGTGATATTTTGATTTGCCTCCTTCAAATTTAGAAGTTTTATAGAGATGATTAGATGGTCTTGGTCTCTTAGAAAGTCACCTAAGGAGGACTGGATATTAAGGCTGTGACTCCTCATCTGACATTTTGGTTGCTGGGATCCATTGTGTGTGCTCAGTCATGCACCTGAGTTCTCAGCCCGGTGCCAAAGGCCAAAGTCCCTGCATGAGGCTGTGGTCTAGTGGAGGAGATGTGTGCATAAATGCTGTTCGATTTTGTCAAAATGAAGATACGGTTGATTCTCAGATACCATGATTTTGTGTGACACTAAGAAAAAACACTGTCAATTAAATTATGACACAGTGCCTTGTGACAGTCCTGTATGGTGCATGAGCCAGTCATGTCAGCCTCTTCCAATAACTTTCTTCTGAGGCATTTGGTGATTTCTCCTGCCTTTCGCTGCACTGCTCAGCCTGTGCTAGGCAGTCCATTTGTATATATCTTAGTATAAAGCATAGCAGTTTCCTCTCTCTGGGCACATAAAGTACCTGGTTGTTGTTTTGCAAGGAAATATAGAACTGTGGTCATTTCTTTAAAGACAAACCTTTGCTTTACTAATATAAAAAGGAACCCTACCACTCTTTGCCTTTCTGCATAAATGATAAACTCCCATTTCATGTAGAATTATAGTGTAACTAACTTTTTGAAGTAATTTAAAATGACAATTAGGCTCAACACATATCAGCAATACACCTAACTCAACTAAAGGGAAAACAATACAGCTTTGTATTAGTTAGCTAACGCTGAATAACAAACCACCCCAAAAATATAGAATTGCTTAAAATAATACAATTAAAGCAATGTAATTGCTTAAAACAAAAACCGAAGTTGCCGAAGAATGTGCCGAAGCTCTTTTCCTCTTCTGCTCCTCAGGGAGCCAAAGCAGTACACTCCTCCCAGTGAATATTACAGTAGCTTTTATTAATGCTCATTATCCCCTTGAAAAGCTCACTGAAAGTAATGGCTGACCTATATTTCTCCCCTGTCTTTAATTTCAGTTTATGAAAAGCTACAGAGTGTAGCAGCTTAGAATCACGCTACATAAAAGCCACCTGCAATAAATATTGTTAAATCCCTTTTTTTCATCCCACTGAATCCTTTGTCAGCAAACTTGGTGTTTTTTCTTCTTACAAATGCAGGGAGTTATTATGAAGCTTATATGAAACAATGCCTTTAAAACAAGCAGTACAATATCAGGCCTACAACAAGGCTTAATACCAACGTCGTGCCAGGAACAGTTATAGTTTCCGGGGATACAGCAGTGAATAAACACCTGCTTTCATGGAGAAAGCATTCTAGTAGGGAAACAGACAGTAAAAAATAATTGTTAAAAACAGATATATAAACACACATACATATATTTATGTGTGTGTGTGTGTGTGTGTGTGTGTGTGTGTGAGAGAGAGAGAGAGAGAGAGAGAGAGAGAGAGAGAGAAATGGTGGAAATGCTAAGGAGAAAATTAAACAAGTGTGGAAAGACGGGAGAATTTAAACAGGGCAAGGAACTGACCTGCCTGCTGTGTGAGAACAGATTGTGGAATATGCTCATGGAACTCCTTAAAAGAAGTTTCCACACCTCCCTCCCAGAGCTATCAAGCCAGGCCTCAGAAATGATCAGGCCTCCCACGATGCTGACTTGGTGAGGGTGGGCCATGGTGGGGTGCTGGTGAGGCAGAAGGGAGGACTGAGATGGAGGTAGGCGGACATGTATGATGAGACTGCATCTGCTGACCATTCGTTACACTGCTTAGCAGAACCTTCACCACGTGAGCTGGAGAAAGGAGACCAAACTAAATTTATTTTTGTGGGGGTTGGCAAGTAGGGGTAGACAGGCTTGACTATATAATTTGCAGGGCCTAATGCAAAATGAAAATGCAGTGTCCCTTGTTGAAAAACTATTGAGAATTTCAAGATGTGACAGCAGAGCTTTAAATAAGCGTTGGATCCTTCTGAGCACATGGCCCAGTGCAGCTTCACAGGGTGTGAAGCTGACCCTGGGGGCAGGAATGTCACTTATTGGCTCAGGAAAAAGAATATACTGCTAAATTGAGGTTTAGGGACCATGTGTAACTTTCAATTATCGGGGATGTCATTTCTAGGCTCATGTAGATTAGCCTAGATGATGGGGTGTCAGCTGCAAATTCAAACAGTGATTGTTAAAATGGAGGTAGAATTCTTTTTCCTCTGAATGTCTCTATTCTTTTTTTATTTTGATATTTTTTACTGTGGCCAATATACATAACATTGATCACTTTAACCATTTGCAAGTGGCACTAAAACATTCACAATGTTGTGTCATTGTCACCAATCTCTATAGCTAAAACTTTTTTATCATCCCTAGCAAAAATTCTGTCCCCATTAAACAAAAACTCCTCCCTTCCCCACAGCCCCTGGTAACCTCTATTCTACCTCTGTCTCTATGAATTTGCCTACTCTAGATATAGAGGTAAAATTCTTAACTAGTGTAATTTTTTCTAATGGTTTCAAACCCAAATGGCCTATAATATGTGGTGTTCTGATGGTTCTTGGTTATCCTCACCTGCATATAGATCAAATTTACAGCTGCTCTGCAGTCCATCAGCATGGAATCAAGGGATGGGTCCATGTACCTGCATAATTCAGGAGCATTAGGTTAATTAATTTAACATGGCTAATGGGTACACCTGGGTGCAAGCGCTCTCTGAAGTGGTGGCCTTCTACACTTTGAACCTGGGGCCCCTTTTCTAACAAAGCTCCATCCATCTACTTGTCTAGCCTTCAGTTTTTCCCTCCACCTCTTCTGTTTCCTATTTTCTCTATACTGTAAGCTCTTGCCTGGTAGACACTGAGAGCAAAGATGCAAAATAATAATAATAATAATAATAATAATAATAATAATAATAATAATAAAGCTTTAGGGGAATGGTCTGTGTCTCTGTTCACATTCAGCCCCACTTGAGTCACCAAGTCCCGTATACATTTTCCCCACCCACAATACCTGGCATTCTCATCTGCCCCGTACCCACATTCATATCACCATCCTGTACCCGGGTCACCTTTGTCTCTTTCCTGAGCTGCTCCAGTAACCTCCTCTCCAGGCTTTCTGCCTCAGTCGTGTTCCCTCAATCTCACACACCACATTCCAACTGGAATGGTCTTTCCTGAGTAAACTTTCAGATTCTCATGGTCCCAGGAGTTAGATTATTTATCCTGCTCACTTCCAAGTCCCTTTAGGGGACACCCCAGCTTTCATTTCCAGTTCCATGTTTTACCTCCCTTCCCCCACACTCTACATTCCCACCATGTTTCTCTCCTCTCCCTCTTCTTGGAAGACCACTCCCCTCACCAACCTCCTTCCCTGGCTTATCTTCCTCTCTGGCAAGCCATATCTTCATGTCCCCTCCTCTGGTCCCTACTCTGGCAGTCTGTGTTAGGAGCCTACCCTCTGTGTTTCCTCAGCACCTGAGTTTATCCTGATCACTGCTCTAAACAAGTTGATCTTGACACCAGGTGCAAAGACCCCTGAGCTTAGGGGCTGGGTCCTATTCAGGGTTGCCCCTTGGTAAAGTGACTTGCAAATAGCAGGGCTCCATGTCTGTCTAATTGAGGCAGAATCACCAGGATGAACTGTAAATAACTGTTGCTGTATAAGCACAGTATCATGCTAAGAATTGACAGAAACCATCAATAAAGGGTATGCTGCGGCTGATCTATAACCAATCTGAAGGCAGAGGTAAGCAGAATCACTGCACTCAGACGTATAGGGTAAAAAGACAGATGGCATTGACTTAGACAAGGAAAAGGATGAAAATATTACTTAAAGATCAACTTCATTCTTAAGCATGGGAAGAAGCAACGGAAGTATTCCTATTCCTACTTATATTCCATTTACTATTTTACCCAGTCATCCCAGGGGCCCCCTGTAGCAGAGAATAGGAACTGTTGCATCAGAGAGTTAGAAAGCCCCCAGACCAAACCCAGACTGGGGCTCTCAGAGGTCAGGGCAGGCACCCTCTGGTCTGGATGGAACTATATCATCATTGGAGAGATGCACCAGGGAATTCATAAACACAGAAGAACCTCCAAGACTCCAACTAGGCCTCACTGCAAGGCCTCACCTGCTGGGAATCCCACAGCTCATGGCAGTTGAGCTAGCCTCCCTGCTCCCAGCCAATAAGACCTCACTCTGGAAAGCGGACCAGGCACCTGCAGGATGCTACGCCAGGCTCTTGCCTTCTGGCGACCTGATTCTCACCTCTAATAAGTGAAGTGGGACCTCTTTCATCCCAGTTCCCATGAGCAAAGGCAATCTGCCTGGATACGAGATGCTGGCTTGTGATGCGGTAGACATTTTATCTTGCGCTTCATGTATGATCTAGAATTTACCTATTTAATGAAGACACAGGCAAAGCCCAATTTCTAATTCGAGCTTCAAGGTGAGGGACTGAATCCTCATCTCTCCTGTATCTCAAGTTCTCTGGAGAGCTCATAAACAGAAAAAGTCTAAGCCCCGAGGAGTTTTGTTGTCGTTGCTACTATTAGCATCATTATTATCCTCAATATAACAATAACAAATCTGACCAAAATTTATTGAGTATATGAGCCCATATAGATAACTTTATTTAACTCTTACAATAATCCCATGAGGTAGACGCTATTGTTATTATTCCCATTTTACAGATAGAGAAACTGAGGCTTAGAGAGCTTGTTGAATAACTTGGCTAAGGTTATTCAGCTAAACCCTATGAGGGTTGGGACTTAGATTCATATACTCTGATCCCAGGAATAACTGAGTTCAGCCACTTGCTATACTAAGCAGCTTCTATAACAGCTACTCTATAAACCCCTAGACGGAATTGCTAAGGGTTTTTCCTTTTCCCTTCTCAGGGTTCCACAGATTTTGACCATTTCTCAGAAATACTTTTGAATAACAGTAAGTGAACGTTTAGCTTTGCTGTGAATATCCTTCCAAAATTCAAAACTGTGGACTGAAGGTCTAACAAGGCATCACAAGGTCAAGATAACTAATATTCCTAGACTTCAAAATGCCTTTCTTCCAAGCTTCTGCACTCAGATTACAGAATAACCGGGCTGGGAGAGAGTGAACCAAAGAAGCAATCCAATACAGCCATGGGAATAAACACTGGGAACCACAGGTTCTACAATGTGTATGGGGTGACTGAGCTGGGGGGATGTCCTACTTGTTATTTTCTGTTTGTTTGCTCTCCATAGGGCCCTCTGTTTCTGAGAGGAATGATAGTATTTTCTGCAAAGTGTCCTATCAATCTGGGAATACGGCTGGCCCTGGTATAGATGCATTTATTGTTGGAAACCCTTAGGAACGTAAGCCAACTGCTTCCAGTTCAAATGCACTGGGAGTTGGCTGAGTCCACCCTTTGCCTTCAGGGAACACCACAGTTCAACAGACGAATCAGACCTGCTTGTAACCATCAACAAGTTCCTTCAATTAATACAGTCAGTAACCCATTCCAAAGAAAGCCCACAACCCACAATTCCTCACCATAACATGCTTCAATCGCACCCCAACAGCTCTTGTTTTTCAAGCCGTACCTTCATGGCTGCCATTCTCATACTACCCTGGAGTATTTCTTTGAGACCAGTGAAAGTCATTCTCAACATCCTATTCTTTAGCACAAATATCCTTGTTCATTCTCCCCACCCCTCTTCTTCACGGGTCTCCTCTTCACCTTCCCGAAGCTCCTGGTCTCTCGCTAGCTGTCGGGCTGTGACACTGACAAATTCTGATCAGCTATAGTAAGACAGCCTCAAATGCCCACTGTCACAATGCTTACTCACCACTTTCTGAGTCCAACCTTGCAGTTTTCCACTTCAGAACTTCGAAGACTCACATAAGGGAGTTCAAAGTCTGCCAATTTTTTCATGACTAGAAAAAGGGGGAGGAGTCTCACTGGTTGAAACAGCACAAATAGTTTATATACAGTGGCTTTAAAATGAGAACACAAAGCATTATGTTGGAAAGAATAAAATACAATAATATTCTCTTATACATGTATGTAACTTTTAACTTTCTAAAGTTTATTCAAAAAAATAAATAACATTTTATTCTCATAAAATACCAACACCTTGAGTGAGAGGTATTTTACACTGTGATACAGATGAAGAAACAGGCCCAGAAGGGTCCAGTGCCTTCGCCAGCACACCACAGATCCCAGTGGCCAAGCCAACACGCAAACCCCTTAACTTCCAACTCAGAACCACCTCCCCACAGCTTCATGGAGACATACAGAAACTACTTGGAGATAATTGATGGCATTTCACAACTGAAAAATGTGCAATATCTAGAAATGCACTGTAGAGAAAAGCAAAAGCTATGTGAATCATGCTGTCATCTTTCACTATTTCATTACACCTTTTTTAAGAATCTAAGAACTTATTTATATCACCCACATTTTATAGCAAATATTCCTTAACAAGGAGAAATGATGGTGAAGGGGGATGCCCCAATGCCTGGAGTTTAGCACTCCATCCACAAGGAGGTTGTGGTGCGGCTGGTGGTCAGCAGCAAGGGAGCATCGGTAACGGTGACACGGACATCATTTGGGACTGGGGCAGGCATGAGAGGGAGTGCAGTTACTGGAAAGCCCTGCCATCTTGCTCCTGTCCGTGCCGCCTCTCTGGAGCTGCTCATCCCCAGCTCACAGGAGCAACCTCCCACCCCCAAATTTTGACCCAGGGGCTGAGAAAAGTAGTAGAGACCACACACTGGGGAGTTCCTCTGGGGGATGACCAGCCCCTCAGCTGGGACTCCTGCATCTCCTGGGCTGAGTGCCTGCCCACCCCTGCCCACCCTGTATTCCTTCTCTCCTTACCAGAGAGCTTGCCTTCCTTGCGAAACCGAATGAGAAATAGGCCAAAGTAGCCCAAGAGCTCCCGACATAGTCCAATTTTGTGTGACACCACCTTTAACCAAAGACAAGAAAAAGGGGTGGGGGGAATTAGGAGTGTCCACCATGCTTACTGTAACGTGCAGAAGTTGGAATTGCCTGTAAACATCTAAAAAGTGCTTTAATGGGATAGCAGACATGAAATGTTTTCTAAATCTAAAAATGGTACATACTCATTTGAGAAAATTTAGATAGTAAAAAAAAAATTAGAGTGAAGAAGAAGAAAATCTGTCTCACCACAATGGACATGAACTAGCAGCTGAGTCTGGTTGTCCCATCTCAGATGTGGGGGAGTCTCCGGGATCATTTTGGACTTTATTTTCCACTGGGGGGCACTAGTCATTCTCCATGAACATCTATACGTCTGTGATAGTGCCCCCAGGGCGTTGCACATCAGTTTACCCTCTTAGGGGCTGGATTTGCAGATTGGTGAAAAGGATGTTCCCCCACCACTTGGCTGTCATATAAAAGTGTACCAGCTACTATCTGCCTTTGACACTCCAGGCCTGCTTCTCTCTGATGTCTCCTGTGAAGTTCAAGTCTAATTTATATGGCATTTGTGCAGTGAAATCCTTAGATCCCAGGCTCGGGCTGCCCTGATTTCTTATTTCTTTTTGACCTTCACATCAAACGGCTTTCATTTCAACACCAATGGGTTCGTTTTTCCCAGTGGGTCACAAGACTGTAACCTCATGGTGTTTTCCATCCACATTCACCTGCCCTTAGCAGGAACCTCCATGCTACTCTCTCCCTTTCCCCCGACCCAGCCCAATCCCTCTTTAAGACTGGGCTCCTGAGTGATTTCTTTGCATGCCCCGTCTGAATTCTCTAGGTCATCGCTAGCATGCAAGGACTCGCCTTTACAGCACCGTGTGAGCTGACACTTTAACCATGGCTCCGAGTTCTCCTGGTGGAAGTTGTCCTAATACCAGGCTCAAAGGGGGAACCTTTTCTTGTCAGAGAACTGAAAATTACCTCGTGAGGCAGTCATCTTAGGTGGATGGTATGAGTGGGTGTTCTTAGGACAGCTTTGCAAATAAAGAAGAGCCTGAGAACTTTTCATAAGTTTATTCAACACTTTTCCCCATTCTCCTTTCTACCTCACTTTCTTCCCCACACTCTTGTAAAAACAAACAAACAAAACAAAAAAAAACCCTCCAAACCACAACACAGGGCTCCTGTGTGTGCATGGGTGAGTGTGTGCTGGTAGGTAACATTGTAAAGACATCTCGTCCTAGAATAAATATGACCCATGTCCACTCAAATTAGATTTCTCTCTTCTCTGACTCATTCTATGAAGACAGCAACCTACATGCCAAGGCAGATAGAGAGGTGGGAAAGGAGAATGGAGAAGCTTTTATAATTTATAAAGACATAAATACAAGCACCTTTGTTGAGAAGAGTAAGCATCTATGTAGAGACATAATAATATTTCCTTCTTAGCAAATATTAACAATGCTTCAAAACACAAACACCAGCAATAAAACCACATTACCACAAATGTATAAACAACGAAAAAAAGGTTTTTAGTATACTGCTAATCTTTAAAGAGCCCAGCAAAATGGGGGTGAGGTCGTTGGCAACGGCAAAGTGAGAGAGGCGGCAAGTATGCTTGAGAAGATACAGATCATGATTTTTAATTACAAAATTTAAGTTAGTTTTATGCTAGCTAGAGAATTTCCCAGCCCCTGGAAGAGACTCCACATTTCTGCCTGGCCAAGTGCTCCCTTTACCTGTTCTACAAATCCACCACCTTGAGAGTAGAACCTCCAGTTAAACTTACCTGATGCTAATGACGTCAGTGTCATGGGTTGGAGTGTCTCACAGGGCAATGTGATTGGAAGAGTACATTTTTCTGAGATCACAGATGTGCCTAATTAAACTTACGCTATTAGTTACAAGGTGAACAGGACGAAACATGATATTGTAGAACCCTAGCCTTACTGCCCCACTAAATACTTATTCAACACTCCCTCTACTATCAATGACAATACCAGTTATGACCAGTAACCATAACCACCACTGTTGAAGGAACATGAACTATTTCTATAGTTACTTAGACACTGTCTTGAAAAGTTAAGTAGCTTACCCAAACTCACACAGCTACGACATGACAGCATTGTTATTTGAATCTGGGGCTTGTCCTAACCCCAGCAGATAGGAGACTCCAAACTCCTACCAGCAGCCAATTTCAGCTGCAGGTATGTCTAGGTTGGCTAGCGAGCCCAGTGTGTTGAAAATATGTCAATAATGATGTCATCAAGCAGGGCGGTCCACAGGCCCAGCTATTTCCAAATTATCTTACATCCTGAAGCTGTACCGGAGTTACCTGCCTGGCCCCAGAGGTACCTGAGTGTGTGGTCTTCACTATCACTGTCCTTCTCCTCCTTCATTTATGTGTCTGTCTCTCATGTTGTAGGCCCCAGGAAGGCAATTGAAGAAACTGTGGTTTGGGTTTTATTTTGGGGGGGGGAGGGATAAATCCCCTAAAACATTAAGCATCAAAGGTCTTTGATGCTTTTTAGAAAGATCATTCTGGAAATCAGTACAAGAGATTAGCAAGACTGGAAACAGGGAGACTAATTTCAGGTCTGCTATAGAAATCTAGCTGAGAATGATGAGGGCTCGAAAAAGGAGGGAATAGGAGTGAGGCTTGGGATACAGTGGCAGGAGGACTGGGAGGGGCCTAGGGCAACTTCTCATTGGATGGCCTCAGCAACCAGTCAGCTGATACCATTCAGCCAAGTCAGCAATACAGGGGCCATGAAAAGGTTGAGGTCGGGTGTGCGGTGACTTTAGCAGGAAGAAAGGTCCAAAACAACCATGCTCAGACAGGGCCAAGATCTAGAGAAGGAGTGTTTCCTAATCTGGGGACACAAACTGCTCTTCTGAAGCCAGGAGGGTACAGGTGGGCTTGAGTTTAAATCTCCAAGCTAGAAAGAGAGGCCATAATGCATGGCTCCACCCCCACTGTCTTAGAAGATGGCTTGAGAGCTGGGAACCCAATAGGGAACATTTCTGTTCATTTTCAGTTCAGAAGGCATCAGATACCATGACCCTAGCACAAGAACTTTCTGTCCTTGGCAAGGTCCTAGAAACTGTCCCACTTCCTCCTGTTTATAACTTTTTATTCTCCCGGGTATCCTCTGGAGGATTAGAACTAAAACCCTCCAAAGAAAAGGGGCCTGGGAGCAGTGTGTGGGTGTGAGAAGATGTGTCCCCTTGGCAGCCCAGCTCAGGGGCGGAGCTGGAAGCGACCACATCTGAAGAAGGAGAGGATGCTTTCTGGGCTTCATCCTTGGAGTTCTCAGAGAACTGAATAAAACTCAGGAATGGTACAGAATTAGACCCACTGGGGTGTTGATTTCAGGGGTTTTCTCTGTGGGAGAGGAGGGACAAGTCTTCTGGCCTTTGAGAAATCCGCTGTCACTCTCGCCTAGAACCTGTCACCAGCCCACCTGGATACAGCCTGTTTCATACTCATCTGGGATCCACCCTCCTTCCTGCTCCCAACCATGGTGCACCCCATAATAAAGCACTTTTCATATTTCCAGAGCACATCCCTGGCTGCATTCCAGGGAACTGACAACAGCCTTGAGAATGCCCCAAGAGGTCTCTGGAAAACTGATGCCCACAGGGAAAGTAAAACCAAAGGGGAATGGGGTACTGGCTGTAGCTCAGATTCCTTGGTCAGTCTTCCAGAAAATCCCAGCATCTCTACAGATAAATCATCCAGAGTAAAATGATAGGCAGGAAGCTTCTGGAAGATAACTGTATCCTAGTCCCTGCTTTCAAACAGATTGCTTTCTAAGTTTAGTTCTAGAGCTGGTGTTTGGATGAAAGTTACCTCTAGGACTCTTTCAGCAGTGTCGGATGTTAGAGTTTCAGCTTGAATGCTCCTTCCGTCAGGCAGAAATATGTCCAGAGAGGCTTTCTTGGTAGTGATTCCAAACGTGTCCTGTGAGCAAAGGAGAAACACAGTAAGCCCCATAGCACCCTCAGTGGGGCACCTCGTTGACAGTCAGCAGTGTCCTCTCCCGGGGCTTTGGGGGTACACAGTACCCAGAAGCACATGAGAGCAGAGATTTTTGGAATGGAGTTTGGGGGACACAGGGTGGGGATTAGGAGGGGTATGTAGAGAGGCCAAGGCAAAGCAATGACATCCAGCTTGAATGATTTCTAAATAAACTACAAGGCATCCATTTTAGGAAAGAATCATCCGTGTGACCCTTAGATTTTGAATTTTTCCAGACTCCCCTAAAAGTCCATAATATGCAGTAATTTATGATTCTGCTACAGCAAAAATCTCGTGTGCAAACTCTGAGGCCTGGGAAGCAAGTCACTGTCTGCGCGTGGGTGCCCAGCTGAGTGCCAGCACCCCCAGCTCAGAGACGCTCTACTTGTGCTCATGTATTCTGTGGGGGGATGCATGTGTGCTAGAGGTGAGTACAAATCTGGGGACATATGAGGTTCCTGGGCTCTAGAATGTCAAGGACACACTAGACACCAGAAGGCTCTCTGAGTTTAGGAAAGTGCAAAGCTGAGATCAGTGCTCAGTTACCATAGAGAGGGGGACCCCAGGAGGGGCATGGCCAGTGGTTGCCCAGACAGGACTCACAGAGTAGCTGCAAATGGGGGTAGGCTGTTTCTAGCCCCTCCCACACAGGATCCTGTCAGTCCACAGAGCTGCCTCATGTCCAGGAGGCTGATTCAGGCCACAACCTTTCTCATCCCAGGATCTACAACAGGATTAACCCCTAATGCCCCATCATCCACTGTATGCAAGAAGTTCATTCTCTCCTAGGCATCTCCTAGTTATGGGTCATCTTTGGGAGAACAGAGAGTCACTCAAATAGTTTTCTGTGTTCTAAGCTTACTATGTAAGCCAGAATATTAGTAATACAAAGGGCAGAGTCAGCGGGTGGGGTGTAATCTCTTTTTAGTGACTAAAACTTTCTATCCAACCAAGTCACCTTCCTTCCTGGTGTCAGGTTGGGGAGAAGAGATCCAAATGGGGCACCCTGAAGATTGGAGATTGCAGAGCTGGGGCTCAGGTAAGCTGACCAGGTGAAACCCTTCCATCTTAACCGGCAACACCTCCCTTTTCCTTAGTCTTCCTGAACGCTCCCTCCCCTCTACCTAGCCACCACCCCACCCCCATTCCCAGACAACAGATTAGGCATCAGGCTTTATAGGAAACCAGGGGGACCCAACAACTCAACCACATTGCCCACTTATCTCAAAAGGCCAATCACATTAGTGGCAGGCTTATTTTTCCTTATTTTGCTATCAAAAGGCAAGTTTTGACTTTAAATTTTAATTTCCCCTCTCCCTCATACTTACAATTACTAAGTTGCTATGATTCTGAACCTGAGCACTCTAGAAGAGAAAATCTGCTGTTTTCCAAATTCAAAAAGCTGGTCCAAAAAAACAACATATGTTTATGAATGTAGTATGTCTACACATATAGGCAACTGTATAAATAGCATACCATTCATAAACAAATATAATATCTATGTATTTGTTATATACAAATATATTGTTAGGTCATGATACTGATCATTGTGCTGTGTGCTAACTGCTTCATATATACTAGCTCATTTAATTCTCAGAACAACTCCATGAGGTATATATACTTATTAATTTCCCTTTTTTCAGGTGAAGTAAAAGTTCACAAAGGTTAAATAACTTGCCTGAGGACACACTGCTAGATGGCGGCAGAGGCAGGAGGCAAGGCCAGCTCCACATGGCTCTAGAGCCTGAGCCTTAAATAGAGTGGACACATCCCCCAGCTGGTCCAGGAAGGTTCCAGTGTGAGCCTGGCATCCAGCATTGCTATGGACTGAATGTCTGTGCTTCCTGGCCATCCTCTCTCCTCCCCACCATTCATGGTGAGGCCCTAACCTCCAATGTGATGGTGTTTGGAGAAGGGGCCTTTGGGAGGTGATTAGGGTTAGGTGAGGTTATGTATCTCATGACGGGCTTAGTGCCCTTATAAGAAGAGGCACCAGAGAGCTTGCTCTTGCTCCATGCGTGCGCAAAAAAGAAATTTATTTCTCATAGTCCTAGGAATTTCTGTTATTTAAGCTACCCAGTCTGTACTTAGTTATGGCAACCAAAGTGGTCTAATATGAGTGTAATAATTAGAGTACTCCTTTCACTCCCCAGGGTGTCTGTTTGAATAAGTTACTATATAGCCACCATGTTACCACCATAAGGTACCATATCATGCTACCTAGAATAAGTTTCTGGCTACATGACAAGAATTTGCCATTTACCGATCACTGTGTTTGTCGCTTTTCAAACAGTCCTGTGGCTTCTCCCTGTCAGAAATGGCCTCGGAATCAGCAAATGCAGAACCGCCAAGTTTTCCCTCCAGGCGTCCAGTGCTGGGACAATCCATTTTCCCAGAATCCTTTGAGAATCACTCCGCGCCCTTCCACAGAATGTCAGGGCCACTGGTTTGCCTCCTCCACAACATAGGCTCTGAGCAACCCCCAAACAACCTCAGGCCATACTTTCTTCACTTCTACTTTTCCGGGGGAATTTTGGAAGGTTTCCCTAGTCCACCCTGCAATCATTATAACTGATTGATTGTAAACCACACCAGGACCCCCTAAGACCCCATACTTAGCTGATATACAGGTAATCGGGGATAAGGGATTCCCCAGAGCAACTGTTGCCCCTTTCTAGGTATACTTTTGCCTAGGTCTTGGATTCTTAAAGGTTTTTGGCTTATAATCACAGATATCTGTTGCCTCAGGGGAAAAACACTCACAAAATAAATGAAAAGAATGCCATTGTTTTTTGATGATTCTGAAAGAAAGTCTATCATTAATTTAGGTTACCTCAATGCAACTTCCAACTCAAACCATATTGCAGACCAGTGAGATATCGAAATGATATAAATGCATGTCTTTATTAAATACTTCTGCAAAAAAAAAGTGAGGACGCAGATTGGACTGGTTGGGCAAGTGAGATTATAGATGGCCCTGAAATCAGACACTTGAGAATTTTATTAAGAAGGCAAAAGGAAGCCATGGTGATTGTGGACCAGGGAAACGGAAGGGATAAAATAGAGGAATAGAAAGATTTGTCTGGTAGTGTGGTAAAAATGGACTAGAATAAAGTCTGGAAGATGGGGGAGACTCAAGATAGATTGGTTGCAGTAATCTGTGGGTAAGGTACTAAGGGACTGGGCCAGACCACGTGCATGGTTAAGAAGTGTGCAATCCACAGAGCAGACCGCTTAGGTCAGCAGCCTACCTTTCCCACTCACTGCATGTGACCTTGTGTAAACCTGGAGAGATTACTGTCCCTCTGTACACCTCATTCCTTCAGCTCTAAAATAAGGATGGTAGTAGTGCCCACCTCATAGGGCTGTGGTGAGGATTCAAGGAAGTAACCTGTAGAACTCGGAACGGCACTCATTGTGGTCACTCAAATGGTACTTTTATTGTTTGTTATTGTTGGGAATGAGGAGGAAGTTATATCCTTGATTTGAATTAGTGGCAACAGATAAAAATGAAAGGAATCAAGGAAAGATTCAGGAAGATGTTTTCAATACTCATATCAAATCAAGTTCTGAGTCCTGTACATTTTACATCTTAAACTATCTCCTGAATCCATCTAGTTTTCATCTCCAGAACCTTAGACCCAATGGACATCTCCTCTTCCCTAGACCCCTACCATGGTCTCCTTACTGGTCTCCCTGCTTCCAGTCTTCCCCCGCTACAAAACACTGTCCATACAGCAGCCAGGTTTTACATATCTATGAATATATATATATATATATATATATATATATATATATATATATATATTTCAACTTAAGGACATTTATTTGAGGTAGTGTGGAGGAGGTGATTGAAGCTCCCCAAGTCCTTGGCATGTCCTTTGGGACTCAAAACGCAGGAGAGAATTTTTTTTTTTAATGCAAACCTAAAAATGTCCTCTTGCTGAAAACCCTCCAATGTTCTTACACTGCTCAAGGGACACTAACGGGAAAAACACTGTTTTTCTCTACCCACACCAACACTTCTGACACTAACTACCAGGAGTTAGCACAGACTCCATAGGTTCAAGGCTCAGTCGACAGGCTGCCCCTCCCCAACTTCAGACACCAGCTGCAAGTCCAGGCCTCTCACACTTCAGGCCAACTGGCTATAAATCGGGGGTTCCCATTACACCCTTCTTAAGTTTGATAATTTTCTAGAACAGCTCACAGAACTCAGGAAAGCTCTTTACTTACAATTACCCATTTATTATAACGGATACAACTCAGGAAGAGCCAAAGGGAAGAGACAAGGTGTGTGGGAAGGGGCACAGAGCTTCCATGCCTTCTCCAGGCCCACCACCCTCCCAGCACCTCTGCATGTTCACCAACCCTGAAGCTCCCCAAACCCTGTAGTTTAGGGATTTTTATGGAGGCTTTGTCATGTAGGCATGATCAAATATTAATCCAATCTCTCCCCCCCTCCCCTCCCCAGGAGGCTGGGAGTTGGGGCTAAAAGTTCCAACCCTGTAATTATGTCTTTGACCAGCCCCCATCTTGAAGCAATCTAGAGGCCTCCAGTCACTAGCAATCTTACTAGAATATAAAAGTACACTCTTTTAAAAAAAAATGCAGTAACATTGGTTTATAACATTACATAAGTTTCAGGTGTGCAACATTATAACTCCGCATCTATATATGAGTCTTAGAAGCTCTGTGCAAGACATACCTATCACCCCATCACTCAGGAAATTACAAGGGTGTTTGGAGCTCTGTGTCAGGAACCCAGTTCAGAGACCAAATACATATTTCTTATCCAGTCCCAGACACCCAGCCCTTTGCCATTGGTCAGGTTGAGACAAGTCAGTTGGCAACTGCCCCTTAACTTTCCTTCCGCCTTCTCTAGCAATTACCTCACAGGTTGCCTCCCCCAGTGGAGTTCTGACTCCATTAGAAAGAAAGAG